CTCCTTCACTTCATGATGAAGTGAGAGAGGCAGAGGCCCGGCGGCTGCGGACCCTGGAGAGGGAGAACCAGGAGCTTCGGGGCTTGCTACAGGTGCTACAGGGGCAGCCTGGAGGCCAGGTGAGTCCCCTCCCCCAACCGGCCAACAGGTCCTTCCTTGCCTCCTCCTCTGGGCTTGACGGGTCCTCTCATGTGCCCTCAGCACCCCCTGCTGGAGGAGCAGAGCGAGGACTCCTTGGTTCCAGAGCTGGATGTGGCTCCCCAGACTTGCCTGACCTCAGACCGTGGCCCCCAGGGTTTGGCTGGCCAGGTGGGGGATGGAGGCACCCAGGCCTTGGACCTGGCTTCCCCCGTGTCAGACTCGGCCCTTGCGAGATTACCCGTGCGTCCCCAGGCATCTGACTCAGGCCCACAGGTGATAGAGAGGCCCCTCCAGACGGCTGCCATGACCCCTCAGACCTCAGACTTGACCCTCCAGGAATCAGGTTCTGTTGTAGCAGCACAGGAGTCCCTGGAGAAGGCTGGCCATGGAGCCCTTCTCCAGACTCCCACCTCCGCGGTCCCATCTCAAGATCCAGAGACTGAAACTCAGGCTGAGCTGTCGGGAGGAGACACTGGAGAGTCGGGGCCCGAAGCCCAGGTGCGGAGACAGGAGGGCCCTGCGAGCAAGCCTGCAGCCTCGGAGCTTAGCCTCTGTGCTCAAATGGAGGAGCAGGAGACCCCAGGCCAAGGGCCGGACCTACTCAAGGGGCAGACAGAGGGCAGGGAACATGCACAGAAGCTGGAGGGGTTGGTTGGGGACCCAGCCCAGCAAAATCCACAGCAGAAGTCGGAACGGGCTTCGGAGGCCCAGACCTGGGAGGGGCCGATCCCAGGGGAGATCCTGGCTGGTGGTGTCCCGGAGCAGGAGGCCCTGAGGGAGGAGGTGGCCCAGCTGAAGAGGGAGGCCGAGGCACTGGGAGCGGAGCTAGAGGCCCAGGCCCGGCGGCTGGAGGCCCGAGGCACGGAGGCCGCCCGGCTCTCCGAGGAGCTGGCTCAGGCGCGGAAGGCAGAGGCCGAGGCCCAGCGGGAAGTGGAGGCCCGGGCCGGGGAGCAGGCTCGGCTGCGGGAGGCAGTGGAGGCAGCCGGCCGGGAGCTGGAGGCTGCGGCGCGTGAACGGGAGGCGCTGGCAGAGGCCCTGGCGACATCGGGCCGAGAGCGGAGGCAGTGGGAGCGTGAGGGGCCCAGACTGAGGGCCCGGGCCGAGGCCGCCGAGGAGCGGCTGCAAGTGCTGGAGAGCGAGGGCCGTCAGCGCCTGCAGGAGGCCGAGAGGGAGAGGCAGGCCCTCAAGGAGGTATGTTGGGGCTCGCGGCCTGGGATGGGAAATGGGGGCCTGAGTCACTTGCTGGGCTTTGGGTGATCAATCCCATCGGTAGCCACCGAGTGCCCCAGCACCTGGCCGGGGCTGGAGACCGAAAGGTAAAAGCCCACCTCTGCCTTCCAAAGGTGCGCTTGACCTGGGTCACAGGACGGATGTCCCCTCCCTCTGGAGGGGTGGGCTGTAGCAGGGGATGAGAATATGGGTACGGAGCCCTACCGCCTGGGTGCAAATCCTGGCTCTCTGACTGTGGCAGCTGACTCGCCTCGGCCCTATTCCTCCTCCGTAAAACG